ACACACTCAGAGACAGAGTCCGGGTGGGGGGGCGACACTGAGCTGGTGTGTTCACACCCAAAGGCTGTATGGACCGGGGAGAACCACGGCGTTATGCTTCTGTTCTTCTGGACCGGGCAGCTGACAGTATGTCTGTCCACACCAACAGAAGCCGTCTCAGAGAGAGGGAGTCGGTTCTTTTTCCTCTAGAAACGGAGAATAGATGAACTGACCAAAAGAGTTGGCTGACCTGTGACTGTTTTCCTTGGATTTGATGTTTCATAATTAAAAAGAAATGACCTCCAGATATTTTTAGCAGTTTTAATCAGATTACAGGAACTTAATCAGTGCACAGAGTTGTGTGGAATCATGACTTTTGGGATTTCCAAGCTTGACAATTAGTGCTCAAAATTTCATAATCGCAGTCAAACTTTCAGCCTTTAATAAAAAATGGCACACATGAATGTTGCCAGGACAACAGAGCATGTAAAGCACGTACAAAGAAGCTACAGTCTCACCGGATTGTTTCTGCAAATCTTTAGGGAGCAGAGATCCTCCATGACCCCCCTCTGATTCTGTTCCAGGTCCAGGGCTGGGCAGTCCCACTCCTGATGGGATAAAGCAGCCTGTTTCTGTTCAAATCTGAACTTTCTATAGCCCGTCTGTCCATCCAAATAGGACGGACAGACGGGCTGTTTTACTGGTGGATAAAAAATGTCTTTTTGATGAGAAGAACAGTAATGAACGCGGTCTGGAAGAAGGAGGCTCCAACGCAAAGCAGCTATGAGTGTCCATCCATCACATGTCTGTTACCGTGTGTGCGTGTGTGTGTGTGTGTGTGTGTGTGTGTGTGCGTGTGTGTGCTAAGGCCGGACGACACGGACCACACAAATGAGGGCTTTGTGGCCCCTGAGCGTGCCCTCCCCGTGGAAGCTGGGAGCTGGTGGAAGGTGGGGTGGGAAGGTGAGAAGGCTCAAGGTTTGACAGGGGACTTTTTTCTTGTGGGGAGGGGGGCACTTGTGACAAGGCTTCATTTGTTTTAGTAACCTGGGTGGAACAGCCCTGACGTTTCCACATTGTGGAGAAAATACACTCAGGGTGCCATGCTGACCTGCTCACCTCCATCAGCAGTAGACAGAACCCGGCCCGACCCGGCTCCTGAACCCACAGGCTGCTGTTCCTCCTGTGTTTTTAAGCTGTGTGTGCCCCTTTTCTCCAATAAGGGAAATAAGAAGTCAAACAGACCCACGGGTTCCAGTTCTGGATGCGTTCGTGGATCTAGAGTAAAGAAAAAAAAAACATGCAGCAGCTATTAAGTTCCATTAAGTTTTTTTGTTCTTTAGTGTTCACAAATATGCTTTCAAGTTGCAAAGCCTTTTACTCGACTGGTAATCTGTCTGTGAGAAAGAGCTTGCAGGGAACACAGTCCATGTTGAGGCAAAGGTCAAAATGTCACTACGGGTTGTAGCCAGAAGTAAACAGGGTTGGAATAAGCCTCCATCTTAAGGGGCCCGCAGCATAAATCCTTACAATAAGATTTACCTCTGCATGATCTCTTGAAGCTGACACAAAGGGCTGGGCTTTAATCACAAGTAATGGCATTCCCTTGTGTCAGTTCTGTGAACACTTGTTGGCAAAGGAGAGGGACAAATGCTGGAGAGGCAGAGGAAGTATGACCCCTTTTAAAAGAAACATGTGGGATCACATTCAAATATAAACAGAAAAAGATTAAAACAGTAGTTTATCAGAGAAGTACAAAGAAAACATATGAGATGTAGCTTTCCCCACATATAGGAGCTCGGTCTCCAAAATGTGAAAAGTGGTTCTCTAGAGGAGCATGCAGCTGCTAACTAAATTAACTGGTGCCATGTTGGGAACATGAGGGGCAGAAAAGGAGCCTTTTATGACGTAGAGAGGAGAGGAAGCCCGAATCATGAACCAGAATCTATCGTTTCTGTGAAAAAGCTCATTTCAAATGGACCATAGCTGAGTACAAAGGACTTCTGTGGGTTAATCAAAGTTTCTGACTCTTTTAGGGAATCATGGATGCTGTGTCCTCATCCCTAAGGAACAGAGGAAGCCTGTCTTGTGTCAGCTCTCACTTCACAGTCTGCATCCACAGGCTGCACATCTGGAAAGTCTTCCTCAGAGCTGAGGGGCAGATGCAGGTTTTGGAGGAACATCTGCTCCCACTCCGACGGTGTCCTCCTCAGGAAGGCCTTCCTACTCCAGCAGGACCCCGTCAAGCCACACCCTGATCCCCAGAGTCCAGATGTGGACTAACCAGCAGAGAGGAGCAGGACTCCTCCATCAGACCGGAACGCGGCGGCGTTCCTCTCCTCTGGTCCAGATGTTCCTGTCCGAGCTTCAGATCCAAACAGAGACGATGCAGTCCGGCTGCTGCTGGAGCTGGAGGTCTGGGAGAACCACATTCAGAGTAAAGGCGGAACCGCAGAGCATCGGCGGGTCCGGCCCACAGAGCCAGGTCTGAGCGGCGGGGAATTCCTGCCCCGGAGAAGCCAACAGCCGTAAATCCATTAGTGATTTAGAGGAAAACATGGTTTAGCTGTGATAAACCAGCTGACCCTGTAGAGCAGCAGCTGTCATGACCTCAGCCCGGGCCGCTAACACATGTGGGGGGCAATATTTGTCTAAGCTGATAACATGGGGCTGCGTGTGTGTGTGTGTGTGTGTGTGTGGAAGCTTGCGACTGACACATTGTACATTCAGTAACACGCCCTGCTAATGGGATTTCACATGAGCGGCAGCATGCCTGAAGGCCTGCAGCTCTCGTGCACCCCCATTAACATTCCATGCGTGGAGGTTTCTGGCAGGAGGACACCAGCGCAGGCCTGCAGCTGGAGCTGCTGATGTCTGGAGATCCACCGGAGTCTTCTGTGCTTCCCAGTCACACTCCCTGGTGTGTGTTCTGTCCCGGGCTCTGACTCACCCGGCCTCCTCCAGGTGAGGAGTCACCCACAGGTCCCTCCCCCCCCCCCCCGACGCGCTGTTTAGCCCACAGGCAAACAGATCCCATTGTGCCGCGTGGCAGGTCCAGATACACACTTCTACAGACGGGAGTTGGGCAAGCTGTTGACACACCGCTGTCGCCATGGCAACTCCGAACCCACCCTGTGAAACAGCCGTGATGTAACAAACACAGAGCATGTGAGCGCGCACGTTCACAAATATCCAAACCATTATCTTGATAGAACCACTGTCTGCGTGCACATGCAAACATTGGAGAGCAGCGAGCACAATCGGGGGGGGGGGGGGGGGGGGTCCTGTTCCCCTCCGTCCAGGGGGGGGACTTTTTCTGCTCCAGAAAGATTTGAAGGTGCACGTTTCTCCTGGACCAGCAGCTATTTCAGCCCCGCCTTGTTGTTTAGGCGGGCGTCAGCCGAAAGCCGGGGGGGGGGGGGGGGCCCGGGGGGCCCGCGGGCCCCCCCCCCCCGAAAAAGCCAGGCCCCAGGCGTTTTTAGGAAAACATTTTATTTTACATAAACTGTACAGATGACATTTGTTTGACTAAATGATTCATACTGAACTAAAAATAACTTTCACATTAAATAGAAAAACCGAAACGAAAAAAATAGAATTACGATGAAAAATGAAATGCTGATTTTTGTACAAAACAGAATGAAAACAGAGCTGAGAAATGAGAATCATATAGTGTACCCTGATACAGTGGCAGGCCTTTTAAAAAATGATAAAACCGTGTTACGCACTGAATGGCCTGGCCATCTCAGTTAAGTCGCTCAAATCTTGGCCTCTTTGGTTCCATTAATTAGGTAAGACAGATTTGAAATATAATTCCATTTACTTCTATAAAAATAACTTTTCAATGGCAGTTTCTGTTTAGCTAATCCCGCAACTTCTCAGTGCAAACATCACAACAATCATTCGCTTTGGAAAGAAAGCGAAAGATTACATTTCAAGTATTCTTAAAACAATTGAGGGTTGAAGGGAGAACAAAGGATAGAGGAGAGCCAGAGTGGGGTTGTACAGAGCGGTGAGAGTGGGTGTGGGTTTTTATACATTGCATAGCTCGTGTGGCACTTATTTCGCGATCTGACAGGACACTCGGTACCCCTTGGAAGGCATTTCTTTTATACAAGTGCTATTCAGGGTGTGCATTTCAGTTTGTTTAGCAAGTGCTGCACGGCGGCCCGCCGTCTCCGGGCCGGGGGGGCCGTCCTCCGCCGGGCCTCCGGGGGCCAGAGCGAGCGGTTCTCTGCGAGTCCCACCCCAGGGGTCCGGGCCCGGGCGGCCGGGGGGGCCAAGAGTCAACAGCAAGAGTGGCCACAACAACAACAACAACAACAGCGGCGGCGGCGGCGGCGGCAGCTTAGCGGGGACTTTGTTTTGTGGCTGCGCGGCTGGGATGGCTTTAATCCTGCGGGGCATTAAGCGCTGCCGGTCTAATTCCACCAGAGAGGACGGTCAGACGGAGTCTGTCTGCAGAGGAGGGAAGTGCTGGCGTTCTGAATCGTATAAGCTGATGAAGCGTCAGTGCTGTGTGAAAACAAAACCTCTCGTTGTGCTTAAAGTACTTGTGAGGATTACAAGAGCTGTGTGGTGGGCGTGTGGGCTCCATGCCGGTCAGGCACTGGCCGGTCGGACACTGGCCGGTCGGACACTGGCCGGTCAGACACCTGCCGGTCCCCCCACCGTCCGTAAGCGCTTTCTTAGAAATCTTCATTGGAGGGTAGATGCTGAGCCATTGTTTTTGACTAGAAATGGCAAACTAGAGCAAAGCAATGCCCTGGTCATCCCCACCGGGACGGGTGGTCTCTCATTCAGTCAGATAAATACACACACTTACGCCGACAGACGCACTCACACACACACCTGGATCCACCGTGATGCTGGTGTGGGCCGGCCGGCCGGGCGGGTGCGGGGCGAGCTACAGTACATGAGGATACATGGATACGCGTACCGTACAAAAGGCCCCCCCGGCTGCTGACTGCTGCGAGCCCGGGCGCCCTGGCGGCGCCCGCCGGCCCCCGCCGGCCGCCGGCTCAGGCGCAGCCGCACTCCTCCACGATCATGTTGGGCACGTCCCTCTTGACGATGTTGTACTCGTCGTCGAAGTAGAGCATGGACATGGTGCTGAGCTTGGTGGGGATGCAGCAGGAGCTGACCGAGCCGGGGCTCATGCCCCGCATGCGGTACTGGTTGACCACCGCCGTGTGGAAGGACGAGGCCGAGCCGGGCACGCCCGCCATGTAGGCGGGGCAGCTGCCCTCGCAGTAGTTGCCGTAGTAACCGGCGGGCGCGATGATCCAGTCGTTCCAGCCGATGAGGCGGAAGTCGATGTAGAACTGCTGGCGGCAGCAGAGCCCGCCGCTGCTGCCGTCGCACTCCAGCCCGCGCTTACGGATGCGGTGCTTGCCGTCCACCTGCCGGGCGCGCACCACCAGGAAGGGCCGGTGGGAGGGGTCCCCCGGGTCCACCAGCACCGGCGCCACGCCGGCCAGCTCGCAGCCCTCGCAGTGCACCTGCAGGTCCTGCCGCCGCCCGCCCCTCCCCAGCACGGCGCGCACCGCCTCCGACAGCGGGAAGGTGTGCCAGCCGCTGCGCTTCAGGTCCACGCGCTTCTCCACCAGCGCCCAGCCCCCGGCCCCCCCGCCCCCGGCCGCCTCCGCCCCGCCCCCGGCGGCCTCCTGGTAGTGGATCTTGACGGTGATCTTCCTCCGGAGGCCCTTCTCGGGGCCGGCCGGCAGCAGCCGGAAGTACAGCCAGAGGCTGGCCTGCGACACGAACAGGCTGGGGTGGCCCTCGTTGGAGATGAGGAAGTACAGGCCCGACGTGGGCGACGTGTGCTCGTCTGTTTGGGAGACAGAGAAACCAGGAGAATCTGGTTAGCAGCTGCTTTTCTCATCACAGGTCTGACAGAGAAACAGTTAGGAGGTCACACACAGTTCGTTTCTAAGAGATTCACGGCCCCCTCAAACCGCGTCTGGCCGGGGATAGGGCCTTTTTAGGCGGGCTGGGCTACACTGATGGCTTCATGATGCTGAGCCCCCCCCCCCCTTCAGGCTGACTCATGCCAGCGCTGGTCACCGGCAGAGGCGTTCCTACAGCCGGCTGAATGCAGCTGAGGGGACCAGGGATGGTTCCCTTTAACTGTTCTCTGTGAAAAGACGAGCTAAAGATCTTGTAGCAAATGCTCCGGAGAGAAATAAAAAGGTCCGACCGGCTGTTTACCGGCTTTCAACCACAATGTGCCTTTAATCAGCATTTAGATTCGGAAACCTGTCAGAAACCTGGTCTCCAGCTATGGACTGGTCTGGTCCAGACCGGGGGGGGGGACACCTGTGCTCACAAAGCCCCCGCCCACACAACGCCCCCCCTCTGCTCTCAGCCGTTTGCTCCCTCCTTATTTCCTCGGCTCACTCTTAATCACTGAGTCAGGTGACCTGTGTGGCGGCTCCCGATAGGCCGACTGTGACGGCCAGTTCTGGGCCCGGGCCCAGTTGGCCTCAGGTCCAGTTTTATAAGCGACAGGACCAAAGAGAGAGGGAGGAGAACTGAGGGGGGGAGGACCAAAGAAAGGAGGAAGTATGCGGGGGGGCGGGGGGGGGTGATGGACGTGGCCGAGGCCCCGGGGGGTTCATTGAGTTCGCGGTCGGTGCCCAACCTGAAGCCCACCCCCGTGCTACCCCGCCCGGCTCCACATCCTTCCAGGGGGGGCGCCCTGAGAGTGACAGCACAAAGCCCCCCTCTGGGCGCCGGCCACACGGCGGCTCCGCATTCACACGCGTGGCCTTCAGCATAAAGCAGGAGCAGGCCAGAACCAGAGGCATTTACATGACACTGGGCACTTTCTGCGCGCACAAAGAGCAGATCCCGGCTGGAGAGGTGGCGCTGGGCTCTGCCTGCCAGCGGTTTGGTGTTTTTCTTTTCTTTTTGCTCCAAAAGCCTAATGATGTCTTCCAAATTACCCCGAGGTAACTTGAAAGGTTTCTATTTCAGGAGATTTTGTACAATGTGCTCAAGCAGGGCCTTTGAAAGCAGCTAAGTTACTTTGTTTGCCCACTGATTAGTGTGTGTCAGTGTCAACAGGTGGCCACCAAAGACGCCCCCCCCTTAAGGTGCCTCACGCCTCTTCCTCCTGTAAAGCAGCTTTACCTTCACACAGGCCTGTTCAGACCAGCTCGCCGGCGTGTCGGCCGGAGCTCAGCCCCTTCACACACACACACACACGTGCACACACACGTGCGCGTGCGTCCACGCACACAGGGCTGCGGGGGGACATGCAGGCCTGAGTGTGACACGAACGGGCGGCAGGAATAGGCCGAACGGCAGCTCCTGCCCGGGACGGCTGTGAGCAGCCCTCAGGGCTACAAGTAACTAATCTCCCCTCAGTCAGCGCGGCGCACGGTTACATGCCCCGACAGCTCCCAGCTCACAAAAGCCAGCGCACGGCGGCACAACCATCCAGGAGGAACCGCAAAATGTCCCACCGCTCTCCCACACATCAGCCCTCAGTGCGATCACAGATCGCTTCAGTACGAGCTGATTCCCTCTATCTTTTGCTTTCCTTTGGCCCTTTCCGTATTCCTCTGAAACAACAAAACCGTGTGTTACCCGCCGGGACAGGTTTCTGATTTATACCCCCTGAAGACAAAGACATCTTTCAAACTCTAAACGTCTGTGATGACAGCAGCAGTTTGTGGCAAACGCACGAAGCCGGGAACTCAACAGAAAC